CGTGTGCGTGTGTGTGTGTGAAAGAGAAATGAATGTAGGCCTACTATATTTTGTTTCATGGCAGTAAACAATTTTCACCTCTACAGTAAATTATGTGAAATGTATGCCTATATAAAATAATACAAATATTAGAAAAAATATTTAACATTATTTTGAATTAATAGAATGTTTAAGTTAAAAAAATATATAGCAAAGGTATTTAAAATCCAATGCATGGAAGGCAGATTGGTGCCATCTGGTGGGGGAAAAATAAAATTATATTTAATACCATGGTGCAACCACTAGACGCCTGTATAGCCCAATATATAAATATACATACAGGGTTGTGCGCGCCCTGGATCAGGGGTGTCAAACTCAGTTCCTGGAGGGCCGCAGCCCTCCAACACACATACCAACAGTAACACAGCAGTTCCAACACACATACCATGTAGTTTTCAAATAAACCTGAAGGACTTGATTAGCTGGATCAGGTGTGTTTAATTAGGGTTGAAGCTAAACTCTGCAGGGCTGTGACCCTCCAGGAACTGAGCTTGATACCTGTGCCCTAGGTACTTATAATTAGGGATACTATTATACTATATAATACTATTACTATTATTGTAAGAATTATATATATTATAGTCAGAATTAAATACTTTTTTAAATTAAGTTTTGCATTTGGATATAAATTAAGACGTTATAAAGTAGATTATACCCCAAAAAATTGCTCTGTATTTTTGTATTTCCCATTCATTTTCACTGCGGTCCATTTAGCCTTTTCTAAGCATGTCCATGATTGTTTTATGCTCATACAGCAAGTGCCACAAAGGTCAGATAAAACTTAAAGTACCTTAAAAAATGCAAACATAAAATGTCTCAGTATAAAATGACAGAAGACCACCAGAGGGTTAATTGAAAATATTTGAAAGATATATTCAGTTACAGATTGCACAACATCCTTTTTCAAAAACGTAGTTACCTAGACAGCATTTTAAGTCATCGTAGATATGCATTTGTTCTTTAAGAATTTAAGAAACCTTTAAGATACCTAAGAAGTATCTTGCACTTGCACTATCTTGTTAAGACTGAGAATGTAATCACAGAATGCACTGGGACAAGCTCAGTAAACAAAATAATCTATGATAAACAAATTGTGAGAAATGCTTTTTATTTAATTCACATTTGATTAAAATGAACAATAAACAATCTGATAAAATGAACCTTGTATTGATGTGTGCTATATATGTATTATTTTGCTTAGAGTTGTTAGTTAAACAACATGCTAATGTCAAAGCCCACTAGACTCACCCTGACTAGACAGTAATGTAGGCTGCTTTTCTTGGCTCTGGTCTCCTTGTCTTCTCTGACCCACTGAACCACAACCTTGCAGGGGAGAACTGGTATAGGAGAGATAAGTGAAAACATGCAGCAAACAATATGTTCAATTATAATGAAGTTTAAAAAAAAATAGTTAATAGTTAACCCCAAAACAAAATTCTGTTATTATTTACACACCTTCACATTGATCCAAACCTACATGTTGTTGTTTTTTTTTTCATGCAACACAAAATCTTGTTTTCCATAATACGTATAACAGTTTATAGTTATCATGTCTGTCAAAAAGACCATAAAACACAGTAGACAGACATGGTCACTGTGAGCTATTGTTGTAAGGAAAAGAGAAGTTTATTAAAAAATTGTGTCCCATAGAGAAAAAAAAAGGTCTGGAATTACAATTTAAATTTTTGGGTGAACTATTCCTTTATGTTTATTCCTAGAGTTGTTGTCCCATACCTTACTGTCATCTGTAAACTCTCTGTCTTTCTTTGGGCTGCTTCACTGTTGTCATTTTCCCTTTGTCTATAAGTCCCAGAGCTCTGATGGAGTGAGAAATATGGTCAGAATCATTTACACCAGCATCAAGCACTTCATTTAATGTCCTTCCTTAAATTCTTACCATCTGCTTCTCCTCTGGCCCCTGTTTGTTTTCCAGCTCAGGCTGGGACTGTAAAGTGCTGTGGGTTTTGGGAAGGGCTGATGGTTCAGTCGTTGAGTGAGGGGTCAGAGGGGTCAGAGGGGTCAGGGTCTCTTCCAGAATCTTCCTCTCCTGTATTGACGAAAAAATAAGTCACTGGCATAGCTTCTATGAATAAAGAAGTACAGACATGGCTTTTTTTGTCAGATAACTGAGACTAATGTTTAAAATTATGTGATGACATGTATTTTACAACAATTTACCATAGTAAGCATGCTTTCTGCTGAAAAACAAACAAACAAACAAACAAACTGAAATTAAACATGACAGAAAAAGATTCTTACACTGTTTGAGGACCTCATATTAATTTCTCCGTAGTAATAATAACTGTTATAACCAGGGTATGATTTGTCAGAGAGATGGGGGTTTCTCTGCTGATATATATCCCTACCTCTGCTGATTTTTTTAAATTTTATTTTAATCCCTGGTGGGGATAAAATATAATACAATATGATGACACTGATGATGATGATGACAATATGATGATGTATTAAGTGTAGTTTTGATAATATACTAGACCGGTTTATTACTTCATGGAAACATCCTTTATACAATGCATCAAAATACATATACTATCACAATCGTAAACTTATTAGCTTGACCGGAAGGTAGGGGAAAATTGATGGATTTGCAGCGAATCGCCTTTCTACGAGGTCATTAATCCGAGAAGAGAGAGAGGCAGACAGTGGTTGAAGCTACTTATTTTTCATCAGATTGCATTAAAATTAACAGAAATTATGATTCTATCTAATGAAATATTAGGTAAAAATTGTGATTACATATTTCTCCAAATGTGCACATTTTCAGACTAAAAGCCATTTGTGTGTTGTGTAGCGAAGCCCTGTGATCAAAAGTAAATAAAGTAAACGCAACTACAGGTATGCGTCTCATTATTCTATTCAAAATATCAATAACTGCTGAATAATTTTTGCATGATTTAGCATTCCTGAAATAAATTAAGAATTATTACTGTAACTATAACCAAATATTATAAACAGTGGTCAAATATCAAAGCTATCAACTTTTTTTATAAGGGACTCAAGTATGCTTTTAATAACAATAAGGACAATTTGGCAAAATAATGTATTATCATGGGAGATTTTAATACAAACATATCTAATAGAATAGGGGATAATTTTAACACTCTGCAGTCATTATGTACATTATTTCATTTAATCCAAATTATAAACAAATTTACCATGGTGTTGGACCACTGATCTTATTTTGGTATCTGATGTAAAGTATATTTCCCAGAAAGGAGTAATTGAATATGGTATCAGTGATCGTAATATAATTTTTTTGTACAAGAAAATGCAGTAAATTAAGATTTAGTAATCATAAAACAGCACGAATTAGATCGTTAAAAAATATAATATTGAAGTATTTAAAGACTATCGTAGGGAGATAATTGGAGTGATATTCAAAATATCTCAATAGTTGATGATGCTTGGATACATTTTATTTTTATTTAATTTTTTAAAGTTTTATTTCTTAAAGCAGTGGACAGAATTGCCGCCTTTAGACAGGTGAGAGATAAGCAAAGATCTAGTCCTTGGATGGATCAGAAAATATTGGAAATATTGAAAAGCAGGAATAGGGTTCTCTTGATTTATAAGAAAACTAAGAATGAGGACAACTATCTAAAATTTAAAGCACTTAGAAATTTAGGACAGAAAAATATAAAGGAGGCAAAACGTCATTTTATTAAAGAACATTTGAAGAAAATAAGTAAGATCCTAAATCTTTGTGGAAAGTGTTGAATAGGTTCCAATCAATTGGTAAATCAAAATGTTCTGTATCAAAGGTAGGTTTGGATATTGATGGCAAGATATAATTTGATAAAAACAAAGTTGCTAATATATTTAATTCATTTTTTCATTAATTGCATATAGCTTAGTGGATAAGCTTCCTCTGTCCAAGGCAAGTTATGGTATTGATCTTGTTAAGAGATTTTATACAAAACAAGGAGTGTTGCCAAATGTTTTTCTTTTACTAAAGTAGATCAAATTACTATAATGCTATAAGAGCTTCAAGTGTCTAAGTCAACTGGGCTGGATGATATTCCAGCTAGATTTTTAAGAGTTGCTGCAGATAGTATAGCTCCAACTATTACATTTATTGTTAATCTTTCCTTGGAAAATGGTATAGTGCCATCTGATATGAAGTTAGCCAAAATCATTCCATTATTTAAAAAAGGAAATAGATACAATTCTGGAAACTATCGTCCAACCTCCATTTTTAGTGTGGCCTCAAAAATTTTAGAAAAGATTGTGTATAAACAGATGTATGAGTATGTAAGTAAGAGTAGTTTAATGGTGATGATGTAGTTTTGTGCTTTTCAATCAGGTTTTAGGAGATCGACTGATACTTCTTTACTTTATTTAAAAGATTTTATAAGGAGACAGACTGATGAAGGTAAAATGTGTGGTATGGTACGTTTGGACCTCCAGAAAGCTTTTGACACAGTAAATCATTCAATAATCTTAGACAAATTAAGTGACATGGGTTTTTCAAGTAAAGTGATAGAATGGCTGAATTCCTATCTAACTGGGGGAGTTCAGAGGGAAAAAAAATTGATGGGGTTCTTTCTGAGGAAACTTTTGTTAGATATGGAGTTCCTCAGGGAAGTGTTTTAGGCCGTCTTTTGTTTCTTTATACATAAATGACATGCAAGCAGTTTGTGATTGTAATTTGTTTTTATATGCTGATGATTCTTTATTAATTTCAGACAAGGATGTTGGTAGGATACAAGTGAATTTAGGTAAGGAGCTTTGTAAGGTAAGAGACTGGCTTTCTGAAAACAAACTGATGTTGCATTTAGGTAACTTTTTAAAAGTTAGACAACTTTTTCTGTCTAAAATGGAATCCATATAATTTGGGTCTAAAAAAAATTGAAAAAGGTTTCTAAGATGTCTGTTAAGGTAGAGGATTGTTTAATATCAAACAGAACTACCATTAATTATCTCGGATGCGTCCTTGACAATGATTTAAGTGGCATGGCTATGAACGTTCTGGGTAAGGTTAATGCTAGAACAAAATTTCTTGCCAGACATGTTAGTTTTCTCAATAAACAGAATATAAAATAATGCTGTCAAACGATTAATTGTGATTAATCGCATCCAAATTGAAAGTTTTTGTTTACATGTGTGAGTAACTGTATATAACATTTTTATTTTGGATGTAATTAATCACGATTAATCATTTGACAGCACTAATATAAAATTACTTGCATCATGTTTAGTGTCATGTCTTTTTCAATATGCATGCATTTCTTGGATGTCTGACTTGTCTCGTGGTTGGCTGGATAAGTTACAAAAATCTCAAAATAAACTGATAAGGTTAGTTTTAGTGTTTAGTCGTTTTACACATGTTGATGCTTCCCATTTTTAAGCATCTTGATTGGTTACCTATAGAAAGCAGATTAGAACACATTAAATAAAAAATGGTACATAAGATTATCAATAACAAAGCACCTTCATATTTTAATACACTTTTCCCTAGGGTAAATGAGCAACATTGTTATAATTCTAGGCAAAGTCTTGTGGATATTACATTATGTCCTTTTAAAACTATGTATGTTCGTAGGTCTTTTAAATATTCTGGGGTACAAGTGTGGAACAAGTTGTGTGCCAGTGTACCTGTTACCGGGAGTGGAGATTGTGCCACAATGGAAACAAGTTTTTTAGCTTTATTGTGTTATCCTTGATGAATTGAGTGTATTTCACAACTTTTCTGTCTAATAAAAAGAAGACGATCTAATGATTCTCAAAACCAAATAAGAATTCATTATTATTCTATAAATGTTACTGTACAGCTGCCAAAAGAGCCCAACAGGCTTCATGATTTTTATAGCTCTTCTGTGGTTTGTGATTTATTTTCAAGGAACCCCA